ATATATATATATAAGCGTAGAAGGCATGGAGAAAAGGATCTTATTATTTGCAAATGACCTTTTCTGTTGGCATCTTGTGAAATTGATTTCCAGTGCCATCCAATGGTTCGCAGAGAAGTGTGACGTTGATCGTATGGGTGTGAATCTACCTAAAGCAGAAAACCTAGTACTTTCTCGCAATCATGTCTATTTCATGATTCAGATATAGGAAGCATAACTGACACAGGTAGAACAGCTCATGTACCTAAGGGCGTCTTATTGGTGACGGAAAATTGGAGGAAGAGAATTATCCGCGAACAGAAATTGCCAGCTGCATTCTGCGCAATCTACCCTGAACCGATGTACCTGTAGTAGATTTGAATATGAAGACTAAGCCGTCCGTCTTCAAGTCGATTTGTATCTCAATCTTACCTACGGTCATGAGTTGTAGGCCATGAACGCAAAACTTCATCCTGGGTACAAACGACTGAAATGGGCTTTGTGGACAAATATTGTGCTCAAACGCGTTGACTTCGTCATAACCAGAAAAACTTTGGTGTACAACCGCTGCTCCAGACTGAGAAGTTGCAGTTGAGACGGTTTAGGCTGGCACGCGAATGCTTTGAGAAAAGAAAGCGAAACATATTACTTGCTTTACCTAAAAAGCCGAGGATGGCCATGAACGACCTAATGAAAGCTTTTCGGCAGCATCGAATTACCTTCGGCTGAAGCTCAAAAGTCGGTAAATGGAGGAGAACTAAAGAGACACTACGTGACGCGTTTCCCTTCGCGACGTGAAAAGATAAGTGGTTATCGAAACTTCAGAAAAGCAGAAACAGTTGTAGGGAAAATATGAATTAAATTTCGAATACGCTTAAAAGTTGCTGGTTTCTGTTCTGAAGAAGTTCGCTGTTTGGTAGACGAAATACTGATAGCTCGGTAACGAAGGTTTAGTGGTATCAACTTTTGGTCTTGAGTCTAAAACCACTGAATCGGAAATAAAGCTTTTTATAACATTTTGTCTAAAATTGCAGCAACAATCCAATCACAGTAACAATATATACACATGGTATTACTGGAATCTGCAGACCTTAAACTGTTTCTCCTTCGCCATTCCGCTCTTCCTGTAAACTGAGTTGTCAGTGCCACTTTGAAATATGTCAGTACAATCTTGTGACTCTAGCTGCCATATCAGTACAGTACTAAGATGTATGAATTTTGCTGTGGAGGTGTGTTGCTTTTCAAAATTGACCTGATAGAGTTTTAATTTTCTGTATCAGATCAGGTTGTTCTGTTTAATAGGTAAATTATTTTAGAAATATATGAACTGCTGTACGTTTCAGTTTGGTAATTTGATGCGTAATGTTTTTTGGTTGTACGTTTTAAGGGTCTACTTTGTTATGGTGGTCTTCGTTTGGAAATACATTGTTCCCTTCATCTCTCTGCATTTTTTTTTAGTAGAAAGAGCTGCAGATTTTTTGCATGCAGATTTCAAGAACTTCTATCTCCAGAGTTTCAGTAATAAGAATTCTTATCGTTGTACGGCTCCTGCTCGTTGTTCAGGAGGCAGGAATATGGTTGTTTCATATGAAAAGGTCCTGGTTACGTACGTGATGCCTAATCAGTTTGTAGTCATTGAAGACAAATTTTCTCTTATTTTTCAACTGCTGAAACCGGATTTTCAGGCCTTGTAAATCAGGTGTCATTAGTTGAAGGATAATATCTTCCGCTGGCAGAATCGAAAATCTGCCACTGTTTGTAGCTACCTTATACCTTTTGGTTACGTTTTGTTGTTTACTCCAGTTTTCGGTCTGTTGTTTTAGTTTTATGAATTTAATTTCGTTGTCTTGTAGTTAAAACAATTAATTTTAGTTCCTTCGTGCTTCTGACGTCGGGCGTTCTTAGCAGCCTTAGCTGTTCTTAGAAGTTCCTTGTTGCTGCTAAAAAAGTCTTTGCTGGCGTGACCATTTCGTCAGGAAGCTCGAAGAAAATTTGTTGCGGTCGTGTTCGACGCAAAATCTCAGGGGTGGACTGCCTTGATCGTTGTGTCACAGTTTGTTTTTGATGTGCTTGTTTGTTAACAGTGATGTCGCGGCCTTTGGCTGGGGATGCTGGTAGACTGACCGGTTTCAAGACTTATACGTCGACCACTAACTTGCTGCTACGATGGTGTATGCCGAAGGATGACCGATCACCTGGATCTGACATGCAGTGAGACCCTGCGCGAGAGCCCGCCAACCTTCCACACAGCCCCCTGTGTAGGCAAGTGCTCCCCTTCGTGCAGGATGTTTTCGGTCCTAACCGTCAACCCGAACGATGGGTACCAAGAAAACTTGGCCAACGCCGCCAGCACAAGCACCGCAAATGTCACCAAGACGTCCGCCGTCGTCAGGGATTTTTTTCCGCCGTTGCCTCCGAGTGTTGGGCATTTCATCGGGCTACCAACGTCTGTGACGTTAAACACGAATTCGAATGCCGGTGTGAAACAAGGCTTTATCGTGTTGGACAAGAAGACGGAAATAATGCCCGTTAAAAGCGAATCTCTTCTGCCTTTCCGCAACAATATGTTTTCTCAGAACAGCTTTCCTTCCATTTTCACAGAGGTTGGTAAAAGTTACATGTGCTTATTTGTATACCATGGTATTTTTTGATTTTTTCCCTTTTTTCACTAATCTTTTTTTCCATATGAGTCCATATTAGTTGGGTTATTGAGGTGAATTTTACTGTTTTGTTACGATATTTTGAAAGTCGCGAGATTTACTTTCTTTAATTTCTTTCTCTTTTACCTACTTCAAAACTCGATTTTGTGCCTGATGGTATTAGTCGCTGAAAAGCACCTCATATTTAGGAAACACCTCTGTCTTCCGTTACGAAAGTGTTCAATCTGTCGCCTGGATACCAGGTGAACACTAAGCAATGTTCTTCCAGCCCACACGAGTCCAACTTCCAGCCGTTTCAGGTATGCATATTATTTACGTTCCCGATTTACTGTTTCTTAACAACTTTCCTTAGGGATCTCGGCCCCTTACTCTGCAAGTGAACACAGTGAGAGGCCCCGCCTATGTGCAACTCCAGCACACGCGCCCGTATCCAAAAAACGTTAAAGGTAAGCATTTATTTGCGTTTTATTTCTTCTTGGAAATCCGTTCTATGCATCGCAGTTTTCGTTTGCGTAACCTCGCATTTCACCTGTTATATTCTGTTCAATTTCTGCCACACTTCCCATAATGATACGATTTGTTAGTGATATTTGACACTTGCACTCATGTTGTAGAATGTACTTTGTGAAAGTCGTTTTCGTACATTAGTATTTTAGGTTAAGTTCTGCCTAGTTATAGAAATTGTTTGTTCATAAATCCTCAGCTGTATTGCTCCAGAATATTAACCACTCTTCTTGACTTACATAAATTTTGAATTTTGACTGATTGTTTTTAGTAGACCTGAGATACTCGCAAAGTTTCTCTGTCATGCGATTTCTCTGCCAACTGGTGCGGAAGTCATTTAAAACGTATCACAGTAGTGATGCTAACTAATTATTGTTTTGTTTTACAATACTGGTTTTAATTTGCGTTGTTGCCTTTATGAGAGGTTGCGCAGTTTTCTGGTTACTGGAGGCGGGTAATAGGAATTCTGTTGAAAGTTTTCTGTGTGGCCTACAGTTCAAAGAAAAATCTTTGTTTGCGGAATTAAGATTATATTTCTGTATACCGACTAGCAGAATTTTCATATTTCTAATAGATTTGCTTAGGTAAATTAAACAGTTTGAATAAGAAAAATCCTTAATTTTGAAAATTTTCATAGAAATTTGCTCAACTGCGA